TGGATTTATGGGATTTTAATCAAACTGGGAAGATCTCCGTGGAAAGAGTCAGCAGAGACAAAGGAAAGGAAAACTACCCTTCCTAGGGGGAACACTTCGGTTCAGGAAGTGTTTGAACCATGGAATCCTGGAATGGTTTGGGTGGGAAGGGACCTTAAAGCTCACCTTGTTCCAAACCCTGTCATCTCCACGTTCCCATATTCCCGTGCTTACATCACTCCCACACCTTTTCTTCTCACCATCTCCAATTTCTGTCGCCTTCTGCTACCAAAAACAGCCACAAGAGCCTCGCACCTGCATCCAGCTGGAATGTCATCTGCCTATTCCCATCCAATTTTCCCCTATTTATACACTCCGGGGTAATTTGGCCGCTGAATCACACGCGCGGCTCGCGCCGCCGCCGCCGCTCGGCTCCGGAACGTTTTCTGGATATTTCGCTGCTTCCCAGAATAGAATCCTGCCCCCATCCCCAGGAAAAGCTCTGCGTTTTCCCCCTTCAGGCACAGCCTGACGTGGAACACGGATTTATCCCTCGTTCCCCCTCTCCAGCCCCGAGGAAGGGCTGTTGGAACAGGAGGACGGAACGCCGGGCCCCGCGGCGGAACCAACCGACCCCGTTAGGGGTCAATGACAACCCTTTGCTGCTGGGATCTGTTTGGAAAATCAATGGAATGGGGGACACGTTGTCCTGGGCCCTTTTGTCATGTCAAATATCTCCCTGTTTAAAAAAACACCCAGAGTTTTATCCACCTCACACTTCATTCCTCCAAATCCTCTAAGGGAGCTCGTCGGGATAACGGACAAGACGGATTTTCCCAAGCTTCATCTTTAAAAACAACACAAATTCGGCCATGTATCCCGTGGGAATGACATGCCAAGGAGGATGGGAGGAGGGAATAGTCTTTATCCAAGTGGGCTGGCAGGTTGGAAAGCAAATTCCTCGAGCTCTGAGAGGAGTGGCTTCGGGATGAGGGACCTGGGATAGTGGGAGTTATGGCTGCTCCTGGATCCCTGGGAGTGTCCAAGGCCAGGTCAGATGGGGTTTGGAACAACCTGGGATAGTGGAAGGTGTCCCTGCCCATGGACCAGGACGAGTTTTAAGGTCCTTTCCAGGATGCTCAAACACGAGAGGTTAAAACAACTTTACTGCAGACCAAGAAAAGCAGAATTACTTCTGACTGAAGACCAAGAGAGGAAAATAGAGAAAAGCTCGAGAAATTACATGAACCTAAGATGGAAACTCCATCCATAATCACGAAATCCCAGACTGGTTTGGGTGGGAAGGGACTTAAAGACCATCTCATCCCACCCATTGCCATGGGCAGGGACACCTTCCAATATCCCAGGTTGCTCCAAGACCCATCCAACCTGGCCTTGGACACTTCCAGG